AAGAGTTTCATAAGTAGGTAGAGTCCCACCATTGATCATCAGTAATTAAAGAATGTATTGGGTTTAGTACATATCACTTCAAGAAGACTGATATTATCAATCAGCGTATCACCCCTTGATGACAGACAAAGGGTTGACTCCCTATGCCTATATGACGTGCAGCCTAATTTATCACTTATATTTGTGTTTACAATCCCTTTCTATCTCTATAGTGACCAACTGTTTATTTTTATATGTAGATCATTTATGTGTGGTTGTCTGGCCAGTAGCATGAAGTTAAGATGAATATAAGTTATTATGTATGTTGTTAGAAATGGTTGGGAGCACAATGAAATACCCAAAAAGGTGAAAGCTGTACTTGACAGTGAAATACGTTGATTTTTCTCATCAAGTTAGAACATTAAATCTTATTTATAATACGTCTGAATCACCCTTTATGCTTTTAAGTTTGCTTAAATAAAAAATTTCTGTGAATTCTGCATCCTATTCAGTTTTGTAAGAGCTCCTGTAAGCCTCTCTCTTATCCTTTTTCATATCATCCGATTTTTCACTTTAATTTAAATGTTTGGAATTTCCTAGATAACCACTTTTCAGTCTCATGCACTTTTCACTAAGTTTTCCCCTTCTGTGCTAACTTGATATCATTGTAATAAATACCTTGGATAACCAAGTTATGAAATAAAAGGTTTATTTTGGCTCACAGATTTGGAGGGTTCTTTTCATAGTACTTTGCCTTATTATTTTTGACTGTTTGTCAAGGCAGCACATCCTGGTGATAAAACAGAAGATATGGCGTTCATGACCAGAAAGTGAAAACGAGAGGAAGATCCAGGAGTTCTAGTTGCTCTTGAAGTGTACACTCTCAATTATTCATCAGCTCTTCATTGAGAGGAAATTCTTGCATGTGCTGTATTTTCTCACATTAGTCCAGACATATTTTTTGGAATTTCTTTGTTTTTGCTGTTTTCTCATCCTCCAGGAATGGAACAAATGAACCCATGCAAGGTTGATAACATGCACCTCCTCATGTTGCAAGCATCTAATAATTTCAGTAAGTTTAGCAGAGAATAATGCCAACTCAGGACAGTGAAGGCTCCCCTTTATCCAGTTTTCTTCCCTTCTATGCTTTCTATCTTCTGTAGCAATTTGTTCTCAAATTAATGCCTTCTATTATTACTTAAAGCCTAGGTCTAGGATATTACTTCACAGAGACAGTAGGCAATGTGTAATCCTTATCAACATCTCTCATAGTCAGTTCTCTGAGAAAGTTAGGCCAGCTACATAATATTTTGAGTATTGGATAAATAAAGTAAACTTTTTAAAACTAATTTTATATTAAATTACAAGCTTCCTACTTCGTGTTTTTCTGTGTTGGTTTGTTTTTTTAAATTTTCTCTTTCCTTATTTTTTAATGGAAAGACTGGCCTTGAACTGCAATGTGATCAACGATAGCCTTGAACTCCTGATTTTCCTATTTCCACATCCCTAATGTTGGGACAACAGACATACATCAACACACTCAGCACGACTTTTATTACTATTTTAAACTTTTTATTCAAAATGTAACTCTTTATTTTACTTATTAGTTTTACTAAACTGTATTTTTCCCTGTCTCAATGAGTTGAAATTATTTAGCTAGTTTCTGAAGATAAAAATCCGTGCTAGCTGGGCGGTGGTGGTGCACTCCTTTAATCCCACCCAGCATTCGGGAGACAGAGGCAGGTAGATCTTTGTGAGTTCGAGGCCAGCCTTGTCTACAAGAGCTAGTTCCAGGATAGGTTCCAAAGCTACAGAGAAATCCTGTCTCAAAACAACAACAACAACAATAACAACAACAACAACAGTAGTAATAGTAATAATAATAATCGGTGCTGATATTAATTCCTTCACTTTTCTTTACTTCATTTCTTATTACTTCATGAATGAGAAGCAAATACTAACACTCTTATGGCAATGTCTAACATGCCTTCTATTTCCTACCAGGCTCTTTCGGATGCCACCATACATCTCTAGACTAACAACTCTACATCCTACTTGTAAGAGTCCCTGTTCCCCATTCCAGTCTATTCCTTGCATGATGATCAAGTTCTTTCTTTTATGCTTTTCTTTGTTCATGTTGATCTTTGGTATTTGATGCCTCTAAAATCTCTTGTTCACTTACACTATCCTCAACCCTCAACACACCAGCCAGCTGATCATCTTCCTAGTCTTTCTAATTTATCAGGATTATTTTGTAATCAGTCATGAAAATACATGCAATTTCCTCCCTTTGTCCCATGCATTTCCCTCTTTATCTCCATTCTTCAGTGTGCACGAAAACAGTTCAGATATGACATCATGACACAGTCCAACTAATTTATAGCCCTCTGCTTAACTTTTATATTCTATATGAATAAACTTCAATTTTCCTCTCATAATGACTAATAACTACTCATTATTCAGTTAGCATTGTTTAAACATGTTATTGATAAGGGACACTTTATTTTCTATCACTTCTCCCTCCTTCAACAGGATCTTACTGTATATCATAGGCTGTCTTCAACCTATGACCTTCCAGGCTCAGCATCACAAATTCTGGGGTCATAGGCATGTGTCAACTTATCAGTTGGGAAACATCTTATTAATCATCTCTTCAGTATTATATATATGTATGAAACATAAAAAACTAGTTGACATGAGTGATTGCTTTAGATAACAAAATGCAGAGAAAGATGGGATTTTTGAATAGTATACCCATTGACTAAAGCTTTCTGAAACAGTTGTCTCCAAATTAAGTTATTTCACAGTGAAAATATCTTCATTTTTTGCTTAGTGTGCAGAGGTGTTTCCCTATATGGGCTGGTAATTTGTAGTTATAAATGAAAAGTGTTTCAAATAAGTGTATTATAAAAGTATTGGCTTATTTTTTCTAATGATAAAACATGCTTTCCGTTCATGCAGACAGGGTATTGGAAGAATGATCAAATTACACTGGAATATCTACTCTGTTAATAGAGTGTTATTATAATTCAGTTATATATTATAATATCAGTAAACTGCTTTGAATTGAAAATGAGTTTCTTTCATTAGCTAGTAATGATCTTATAAGAGGATTAATTTCATTGAACCTATTTCTGTATCAGTAATACAGAGGTATTTAATATTTCAATTCATACTAAAGATTTAGGTTAATGTCAATTAAGTATTATGCACCAGAAACATGGGAAGCTGGATAGATGGTTCAATGATCAATCAAGAGCTCAGTTCCTAGCACCAATGACAGGTAACTTGCAACCTCCTGTAACTGTGCACATAGATACATATATAAACACATAACTAAAACCAAAATTAAAAATATAAATGTATGTACCAGAAATGTATAATGAGAGGTTTTAATGTCACATTATTTTTTACAATTTTTCTTATAATATAGCATAAAGCTCATCTTAAATATTTGAAAATTAAATAATTAAAATAAAATAGACATGACAATGACTTTCAAATATGTCCTGAATTCCTTAATTCTGTCTTAGGTTAATCCCTATGCCAGGTTGTTGTATGTTCTACAATTTCTATATTTCTATCTTTCTGGACTTAGCGAATTACCTAAACTGTAATAGCCTCTCTTACAGACAGGTAAAGACATAGAGATGAGTTCCACGCTGACTAAGCTGCAGGGAGTATTCCCAGTAGGTCCCTCTTAGTAGCCACATCATACTGACATCTCTGTCAATTGCTCTTTGACTGCATGAGGATTCTAATAGGCTCTGCCAGTGATTTCAAAGGAGAAACTTGGAAAAATCTAAGCTAATACTTTTTCGTGGGTTTGAGGTACCATAAATCTGTGGACTTATATCTTATACCACAGTTATTAGTATCATCCTATCAAAAGGAAACTTCCTGCTTCCTGAAGGGCTATTTTTGCTTTGTTTTGCTTTTGTTTTTGTTTGTTTTGTTTTTGTTTTTGAGACAGGGTTCCACTTGTATTACAGCCCTGGCTGACCTGGACTCACTCTATATTCCAGACTGTCCTCAAACTCACAGAGATCTACCTGCCTTTGCATCCCAAGTGATAGGATTAAAGGTGCATAACATCGTGCCCAAACTTCTGAAGGATCTTAATATCATGCAACCACATGGCACACGAACATGTTTACAGTCACTACCTTATAATGATTCATTGAGTTTCTTCTTTTTAAAAAGTCTCCCTCTCTGTCTCTGTGTCTGTTGATGCATACCACATGTGAGAAGCCCAGGGGACAACTTCCTAAAGTTGACCCTTTTCCTTCTTTTCGTAGGTTCCAGAGTTAGAACTCAGCTCATCAGTACACAGCAAGAAGCACCTTTGTGCACTGAGTCATTTTACTGACCCTTACTTTCATAGATCTTTTTGACTTTTTGGTTTTTTTTTTTTTTTTGAGACAGGCTTTTCTCTGTACAACAGCCCTGGTTGTCCTGGACCTCACTCTGTAGACCAGTTTGACTGACAGAGATCTACCTGCCTCTGCCTTTCAAGCGTTTGGATTAAAGAGAGGCACTACCACTGTCTGAATTCTCTCATAGTTTTAATAGCTCTCTTTTTAAATCTTTTAAAAATATTTCTTTTACATAAGTCATTAAAAACGTCTGGAAATATTTAATATTTTCCACAGTTAATCCCAAATAATCATCATTTTCACCTAAAGTAGCTATTCTCATAGCTTCTACAGAAAACCAGGGGCAAATTAAACCTTTGTAAATGACAACACAAGATAAAAGCATGATCTGTATGCAAAGACACAATTTAATTAGAATGAATTCAGAAGAAAAACATTTACCAAAGTAGAACAATTTCAAGCTTTGCAAAAATACTAAAGTAGGAGGTATACATTCCCAAAGTACCAAGAAGTTCAGCTGAAGAGAATTACTGGAGAATGAACACATACAACATAGCCCCATGGAACAAAAGCCCTCCCTGCGATGCTGACTGATCACTCTTGTAGTTAGAAGCATGAAGGTGCTTCAGCTACTCATGAATTTCTTTAGTAAGGATAAAGGCAACCACTCAAGGAAGAAGAATGTGGTTGAAACCTGCCGTATGTATAGCTTGCGGGCCTGTAGTGGTCAGGTCCATAAGTCAGGTTTCTCAGTGGTGGACGATCATAGGGAAGATAGCTCAGCGGTTGACGGCCATAGATCAGGTAGCCCAGGGGTTGATAGCCATAAGACTGGTAGCTTGGAAGGAAGCAGCTCCAAGGTTGTCTACAGGATGTTGGCCGACCAAAGCTGGAATTGCAGGATGTGGCAGGAAGACAGCTGTTTCCTTCCTGGGATCCCGATATCCCTGAAGTAACTGGAGAGCTGGCTGAAGGGCTGCCAGTGCTCCTATTGCAGCTGGTTGATTGGCAGCTCCTATGTTCACTGCAGGGCTCATGGTAGTTGTCACGTGGTGTGTTGCTGCCCAGGCTGCTAGTAGGAGAGCAAGGGGCATCTCTACACCTCATCTCAGTGGAGCAAAGGCCAATGGGTGAGGTGACAGGAACGTGGCTAGAGTTCCTAGGAGAAGAAGAGCTGCAGACTTCTGAGCAGCCGTTATTGGACATGATAGCAATAGAAAGACAGCCAGGCCTCAACTAAACTGCAGAGAACAAGTTGCTGAAGTACATTTGTTAGCTGCTAGGCTTCTTTATATACCCTGGGTGCTGGGTGTTGGTTCTGTCTATCGTCCGTCCTCTTGGCATCTCATTAGAATGTTCTTTGGCTGCCCACTAAGCAGTCCTCCCACTAACTCATAAAAGACACGCGATCAGTATCACATCTTTCAAATGACTGTCATTTCAAAGTCAATCTGGTCCTCCTCATCTAATTTCTAACAGGAAGCAGTTTTCCTTTAGCAATTTTAACAGCTTCTTAAAGTTACTGTTTAAAACCCGCCAATGCCTCTGAATAATTGGTGATACTTAAAGTCACTTATTAATAAAATAAAAATGAATATATCATAATGCTTAAAGTATTAATAACATGTTGGATAAGTCATAAATAAAATTGAGAAAATTGATCTCAGATACCTAATACTGCTTTGGAGACTTAACCTAAATTCAAAACTCACAAGACCACTGGGAAGTCTGATTTAGATTGTTTTCTAGTGTATCTTTCCCAGCAAGGAATGGTGACCTGAAAATCCTTGCTAATTTTTATGAAGATCCACACCCAAAGAGTATCACACCCAAAGGTAGTCACTCTTCTATCTTTTATTAGAAAGAAACTGGAGGTGTTAGCATACATCTTCTGATAGATGCGGCGTACCAGAAAAGACACGTCTTTTGATGCATACCTCTGTGAGTTTCAGAATGACACTGTAAATAAAAGATGTGCCCTATTTCTAGCCAGTTTTCCTATAGTTTCCCAAAGAATGTCTTCTCATACACAAAATATTTCTAAATAACTCATGTTTTTCATATTGTTTAACAGGGAAAGGCAATTTAGTTTATTTTTCCTGTTGGACATTTAGAGTCACACCGTATGGTTGGAAAAGAAATGAATTTTCACTTCCATTTATTCTGCCAATCAAATTTATGCTTGCAGCTTAGCTACATCACTGCACCCTTCTACTCAATCTAGGCCATGCCATTTAGATAAAAGGCCTCTTAGTGTTCCTGGAAGGGCTTCATTTCAGGAGAGTATTTGCTTACATCATGTGCTCTGGAATCAGGCTCTTAGTGGTATTTTTGGGGATGAAAACATAAGAGAGTTTAGCGAGCTTTCTTAGTCCCATGTCTCAGTTTAGCCTTCCTGAAACAATGAAAGTCAACATTTTTGGCCAGAGAGACTTTAACCAGAACTTGTACATTAGCGACTGTTCAGTTATTATATTCTTACAAGCAATGTTTATAAGTTTTAATTCTTGCATGTAAATACACTTTCCCATTTCAAACAACCTCAACAATATCTTCCAGGATTTAGTGACAAAACCTGAGTGTGCGGTTTGGGCCAGGATCTATCTAGGAAGTCCTAAGCAGAGCTGAGTGACAAGATTGACCTGAGGCTCCGCAATCCAGTGTAGCCAGCTCTGAGCATGGCTTTTGTTTTATTTGTTTTCACAGATGAGTATGGTACACATCAATATGAGGGCAAAACCATCTTCTTTAACAGAGGAAGAGCATTCCTTTGCCATGAGAACATTCTTAGCTAACTTTTCTTGTGAGAATTTCTAAATGTTTCTTAGGACTTACTCATTAGAATTTAGTAATTCTTAAGGCATCTTCCCTATTTGCAATGTCAGGTAGCCAGCCTACTCATTGGTACTGCATTTATGTCTGCTCAGAGTGTGTATTTCAATAGCCCATTTATTTAAATCCCTTTAATACCGGGAACACTATAAACACACATTTTATGATTCTTCAATAAACCAAAAATGGGCTGAGTCAGATTATAATTCTCTTTATTGAATAAGGAGATGACTAAGTAACAACATACCTTCTTTTCCATGCATTGGAACTTGGAGATATTTTTAAGAAACATATTTTCAGTTTGAAAATTTCATAATACATTAATGTGCTTTGATTAATTCCTGTCTACAGTCTCTCCTCTCCAATATGTACTCTATCTTCCCACCTCCTTTATTGTCCCAACTCCAAGTGCTTTGTTTGGAAACCAGCTGACTCCATTAAATGTTGCCTGTATAGACATGGATATAGGACCATCTACTGGAACACGTGCAGGTCCCCAGACATGGACCATCTACTGGAACATATGCAGGTCCCTGGACATGGACCGTCTACTGGAACATGTGAAGTTCCCCGGACTAGACCATCTACATGAACACATGCAGACCCTCAGACATAGACCATCTACTGGAACATGTATAGATCCCCAGATATGGACCATCTACTGGAACATGTATAGATCCCCGGACATGGACCATCTACTGGAACATGTGCAGGTCCCCAGACATAGACCAGCGACAGGAACATGAAGTTTGTGTAGAAGACCTGGATAGACTAGATTTATTTTTCTTTACACCAAAAATATTCAAGGTCTTAGAACCAAATTAAATGAAAAGAGGCTAATGAAGAAGGAACACAGGGACTAGTATGAGAAAGGATGAAAGTGCATATTTGACCCTACAGTTTTAACAACCTTGGCAGTCAGTTAACATTAACTGATTTAGGGGAAGGGCATGTTACATCGAGCCTCTGGGTAGATGGTTAGTGAGCAAGTCACAGCAAGAATAGCAGACACATAGGGTCGTAATTCCCAGGGGATGAGAAGAAACAAGGTGGCATAGTTTTACCAGGCTGTGGGGTGGCAGGGATTATAGTCAGTGATAGCCAAAGTGAGAGGAGCAGCGTGCGAGCCTACTTCCCAGCAGCCCTATTGGAATTTTACACCATGAATTTGGAAAACTCATAGGTACCTCCATTGATGAATTTATTGTTTTATGTTACTTTTCTCTCTGGGTGTAACTTTTCTATGTCTTTAGTTTGTTGGTCTTTTCCTCCACAGTATGTGATCAGTGGATGAGATTCAGCATTCCCCATCTCAGTTATTGAAGTTTTATTTATGAAACTTTGATCTGGGTTTCTCTTTTTATCTTTCATATCTATATTTACCATGAGTATATTTCTTCTCACTCTGTAAGCATAGAAGCACAGTTAACCTTACTGTTCTAATGTTTCTCCTTTAGCATTGGCATCATCCGTGCTCTGGCTTTGATTGACTTGTGTTTTTTTTATAGTATGAGTCTTATTGTCAGGTTCCTTTGAGTGCTTTGTAAACATCAATCGGATGCCAGGTGTTGTTATTTAACATTTTGTGTTCCTGTAAACATTCCCAAGCTTTGTTCTGGGGTAAAGGTGATTTGCGTGGAAACAGTTTGATCCTTTTGAGTGTTGCTTGCAGGGAACATTAAGTGAAATTCAATCAGTGCTTAATCTATGATTATTTTTGCCTAAACAAAACATCCCTTTGATTTCTCTGCCAACTTTCTGCTGTATCTGGAGGGAAACTAAATGATTCCCAGATACTTGAGCTATGAGTTCCTTTAAGAATTCTTTCAGGGGGCTCTTCTGTAACTTCACAAGTTTCCTTCACCTGAGGATTGATCATTAAACTGTAGGAAAGGTTTTGGTGAGCTTAGCACATCCTGGCAATTTTCCCCGTGTACCTCTTTGACTACCCCCTGTCCCTCTGCAGTTGTCCCCATGCCTCTCTTCAGCTCTCCCTTTTTCCTTCTGCAACTCTTCCCTTGTCCCTCTACAACCCTCCCCATGCCCATGAAGCTCTCCCCATGTCCCTCTGTGACTCTCCAGGACTTGACCCTTTACCTCCCCTTTGCTGGGCAGCTTAAAAAGATCCCCGACTCCTATACTTTGTCCAGTTTCATGATTATTTCAGCACACAAATGCTCCTACTATTCATTTTGTCTAGAAGCAGAAATCCAAATCAACTTATATAAATCTCTATTTTTGTGCAGGTAAATACCTGTATGAGAAAGAAAACAAATTCTTCCTATTTTTGGAGGTAGTTAAATATAAGTCCCATACTTACAGCAACATTTCTTTTCAATGCAATGACCTAGTTTGTGCCCAATAATTACTATTTTCATTTTACTTTAAGTCTCTTTTCCTACTTATATTTGCTTGAAGAACATTTTATCAGGATACTTTTAAAGGACGATAAAGCACTTTAAAAGCAATAAGCTCTCTACTTTAACTTTTCTTATAAAATATATGTTATTTTTCATATATAAAATATTTTTCCCACTGTATTCTGAGAAAGATCTCAGCTAAAAACTTATGCAGTTGGCACAATATACAAAGACTAACTCATCGGAGTCTACATTGGACCACTAACTATGGCCAGTATAAATACCAATATAATCTATTACTAATAGAGGTAGATTAAATAGAAATTTTTATTCCTTTCACAAGCTTTCTATTTATCTGAAACATTTGTAAAATAGAATATTTAAGTGAGCAATGGGCTAACTTAGCTATGAACAAATCAAAAAAGTTTGTTTATTTATCATCTTTATCAGTTTCTTCAACTACGACTCAAGTAAATTACAATTTTTTACACTTCTTGTGATTTGCTCTTGCTTTATTTTGAGACAGAGTCTGATAGAGCCCAGACTGGACTGAAACTTACCCTCTACTCAAGGATGAAATTGAATTTCTGCTACTCCAGCTCCCATTTCCCAGATTCTGGGTGGGATGACAGTGTTGCAGTGCCATGCCCAGTTCGCTTCTACCCGAGGAAGGCACACTGACAGCTAGGTCGTGCCCACCAGCTAAGCGAGAATTCAGTAAGAATCTGTCTCAGCACCCACCATCAAGAACTGTTCCATATTTAACCTTACTTTATTGGGGGAAAGTATCTGGGACAGGGATCCAAGTCTGTTTGTTTCTTTTTCCTATTTTGCTTTTGTCAGTTGTTGTTTTTTTTTTTAAATATATTTTCCCCTGTGTAAAGATTCATTTCCAACTCTACTCATTCGAGTCACAGAATCGGTAAGAAGTAGAGCTGAGTCCATTTCCCAGCTGTTTGACATCTTATCTGGTTTTTCTTGGTGTCTCCCTTAAAGAAAACCATGGCAAGGCTA